GGTATAGTATGATTGTCACTACACGCAAGAAATCACTTTTTGTAAATAATCTTTATTTTAGTGATAAATATGTAATTACTACGTATTTCATATATATTTATACTTTGACCCTCATTGCATTCATAGAAATGGTGTTAAATTAATTTTTAGAATAAAATACATTTATATATAATTACCAAAAATATTTGAGTGGTGTCAATTAGCAACATTTCATTTATATTGGTGGTGTCAAAATAGTTTTTAGAAAATTTTCATCTGCATATATAACTAAAAGAAAATATTTGAGTGGTGTCAATTGACACCACACCCATACATGTGGCTCCGTCCCTGGGCCCGGTCCCAGTATAAACTCGGGCTAGTACTAGCTTAGGGCTGAAATTTTTAGGACCAAGCCTGGCCCAACCCGGTCTTGGTCCATCCCTAAACAAGAAATCATGGATGAAAAAACTGAACCGCAATCGAAAATCAAAATGTGGAGCATCTTCAAAGGAGGGTCGGGTATGGTCCATCCCTAAACGAGAAATCATAGATGAAAAAACTGAACCGCAATCGAAAATCAAAATGTGGAGCATCTGCAAAGGAGGGCCGGGCTCGGTCCATCCCTAAACGAGAAATCATAGATGAGAAAACTGAACCGCAATCGATTGGATGCATTGTTTTGAATTTTCCTTCTAGTAGTGATTAAATCCAAACAAATTACTAATTTGTTTATGAATCCAAACAAATGGTTTTTGGTTGTAAATGTTTTTTTTATCGAAGGAGGCTTATATTAATAAAATAGCATTCCGATAAGGAGTAAGATGACAAAAAGACCACATGTAACCCCTTGGACGAGACTCTGAGTTAATCACCTTTGACAAAGCAATAAAACTCGCTAGTCCTAAACTGGGCATAAAAAAGCCAACGACGATTATCGTAGACCTCGCATCCCCCATACCTAATGCAAGAGTTTTACAACAAATGAAAACGTAAAAGCAAAACACAATAGTCTGATCGTGGAAATAAAACCGCAAATAAACACCAAAACTCATTCTCCTGAGCCGAACCACCATGTGAACCACCGGCGGGTCTAGAAGTCCTGACCCGCCGCCTCCCCAATTTTTGACGCATCAAGCGCCATGTCTTCACAGTTGTACCCCCTTTTGACAGGCCTTCCCAAATCCTACTACGTTTCGCCTCCCCCGGCGTCTCCTCTATGTCGTTTGTCCCACCCTGTTTCGACACACTTGCACCTGTCTCTGTCGAGTACTCGCGTTGGTCCTGTGCCCCTATGTCATCCAGCACAATCCCCTCATATTTCGAGGGGCAAAATTTATCTGAATGCCCAGTCACCCCACACATGAAACAGAAATTGGGTATCTTTTCATATTTAAAATCTACCCAATGTCCAATTCCTTCTTTCTTCAAATTAATGCCCTTCTTCAGTGGTTTTCTCACATCCATACAAACTCTAATTCTCAAATAAGATTTCTAGTTTCCCGCTAATTGGTTCTTATCAAAACTAATAAATGTGCCAATATAATTCCCAAATTTTCTAGCAGAACCCTGATTCCTAAATTTATAAGGAACATTGTGAACCTGTACCCAAAACTCAGCCTCATACAAATTCATCTTTTCAGGTATATCATCTGGCTGAACAGCTTTCAATAAAATTCAATCTCTTTCAAACAACCATGGACCATCCTCGAGCACACGATTCATATCCATAACATGATAAAAATTGAAAAGATACCTTTTATCACCAATTTCCTTGATTGCAACTCCTTTTCCCGGACGCCCATTTGAAGCCAACAGATCTTGGAACACCGGGTGTTTGATTTTCCGGTTCGTAATCACCGTGCCGACCACTGGGAATACCGCCTTCTCGTCGGCAGCATCCAACTCCCTTGTTTCTTCCTCATCAAAATCGAGTTCATTATCCTCCTCTCCAATAGCCATCTTCTTGTAGTTGTTAACTATGTCATCCATCTGGAAAAAAAAAACCTGCTTCGAGCCTTCCCCTCCTCTCTTTCTCAGCCGAAACCAAACACCAGATAACGCCAAGCACCCTTGCCCAACGAAGCTTCACACTCGTACCAAGTAGGGCTGGAACCGGTTCGGTTCTTACTCAAAATGAGCGGAACCGTTATAAAAATGTCAAGTAATGAAATCGGTTCGGTTCCTATAAAAAACCTAGAACCGTTATGGAACTGAACCGATAGTAAACAGTTCGGTTCTTCCTTTTACCGGTTCCTAGAATAATTTTTCCTCGTCTAAGAATTAACACATAATTTACTTTCTACAACATAAACACGTCGAAAATTCAAAACACGAGTATTAAAATTTTATTTGAAGCCCTAACCGCTTCAAACATCAACGTTCAAACTTAACTAATGAACTGTGAACACTTAATAGAACAAAACATGATTTGAATTTTCATGTAATAAATAAAACATAAAAATCGTTGTAGTGAAGGTTACTCGTCATCATAGTAGCAAGAATAGGACGTCTACTTCAAGTCTTGTCAAACATAAAAAATTCATTGAGTTCACATGTATAGATAAAAAAAACATTATCACATTCTACTTGCTAGTAGCATGATTCATAATAAATCTAATAATTAGAAATATCATGAAAATAATAAAGTAAAATATGTGCAATCAATACAAGTTATTTGGGTTATTTTATATTTATAAAATTTAGGTAATGGAACAAAACTTGATTTGTAAAAATGAGTTTAATGTATTATATCAACCCCATGTGCAATATTTATTACTTCGTTTTCGTTGATTGAAATAGAATTGTTGGTTAAATATCTTTTATTGTATTATTATTGTGGTGGTGGTGGTGGTTATTGCTATTATATTATTATTATTATTACTACTACCAATACTATTTTATTTTTTATTTTTTAATAACGGTTCCTTAACGGTTCCGTGCACATATTTTTTATAGGAACCGGGAACTGAACCGTTAACAACATCTAGGAACCGAACCATTAACAACTAATACCTCATTTGTAGGAACCGAACCGGGTCATAACGGTTTGATTCCAACCAGTTCTACGGTTGCCGATTCCAAAATCCCACCCCTAGTACCAAGAGAACCTAGCCGAGCCTCGCGATAGCTATTGCTGGAATCGGACACTAAGAAAAACCGAGCCGTTCTTCGATTGGAATCGAAAACGGAAGCACTAACCCTAGCGGCGCTAGCCCTAGAGAGAGACCACTTTTAGAGCAGGTATACACTTGGTTGTAAATGTTAAAAATTGGTGAATCCTTTTTACCTTTTCAACTTAAATTTGATATTTAATCTCAGCCAAAAGGTACACAAATCAATGAATCATCTTCATTTACCTTTTTGGAGATTTGGACTTAAACCTCTCCCACTAATGAATGCTAAGTGTGAGTTCTAATCCACCCGACCAAATATATATTTTTATTTTTAGCATTACCTCTGTCACTGCATTTGTGAGACCCATTCCTCAGGGACGGGTCCAGAATTTCGAGTCAGGGGTATATAACATTTTAATTATCAAATTATTTGAAGAAAAATTAAAAGGTGCATATCTATTAAATATTAATACTTTTTAAATAACTTCTATCTTGTTTAACCACATGAATCTTATCGCAATAAGGATTTGGAAAAATTGACAGTAATAATCCCAACTATTGGCGGTCCGCTCATAATAATCCCAACTATTGATTATTACAGAATAATCCCAACTTTAGGGACCTTCCGCCAATAATGGTCCCTATGAATAAATTCTTGTAGTTTCTAAAGTGGATGAGATGAGATATAACAAGTAATCCCTATAAATAATCTCAACTTTTAATTTTTACGCTTAATTTCTATTTAAAATTCACTTTTTATAGAGGTAATATATGGTCATGGATCATTATTGGCGGATAGTCTATATAGTTGGGATTATACAAAAATAATCAATAGTTGGGATTATTTTCAGCGGACCGGCAATAGTTGGGATTATTATTTTCAATTTTTCCTTTGATTTTTCAATTGCAATAGTATATGTATGAGATTACTATTTTAGAATAATATTATGACATTGATCCATATATATGGTGCATATTATAATTGTATTAATGCTAAAATAAGTTAAAGTTTATTATCTATGAAATAAATTGTTTTTATGAAGTATAAGAATTAAATGAATTGTGTAATTTAATATCAACAAACACTTATATTTTGGATTCACTTCACATGAACTAATATTATTTAACTAGTGTGTCTGGTCTTTAATTTCATTTGATATTTTTCAAAACCGAGTACTAATTATCTAACAAAAATAATTTTTTTTGGAAGAATCTGACAAAGATGATTAAACATTACAAAACTAGGAATTTTTATATAATAAGTATCCTAAGTTTTAAATAATGAGTTGTTTCTATTGTTTATTTGCTTAAATTATGTAAATTATTTCAGATGTTTCTTCTTTCAAATCTATAATTAATTAAGTATCACATTATGTAAGACTATATATTAATTAATTCTAAAACAAAGAAGTTAAGGGGGACGAACACATATATATCTAACTCAAGTATGAAAATTTTATAAAAATATTACATATATAATAGAAAATTTTGAAAGTCCAAGAGGCGGTCGCCCCCTCCCCTCCCCCCCCTCCCCCCCCCCCCCCCCCCCTAAATCCATCCCAGCATATCCTCCAACCACATTTTCCAACTTCTTAATACATTTCATTTTGTAAATAAAAATACGGAGTATTAAATATTTGTCTGAATGGAAGTCAGGGGTGTTTGGATCTGATTCTTAAAACTGTTTTTACTCCTTCAGGGAGCAGAAGCAGAAGTTTGGAGTGTTTGGGTGAAAGTGCAGAAGTGATTATGGTGCTCTAACTTACTCCTAGAATCAGTTTTTTTAGAAGCCGGGGGAGACCATCTTCTGAAAACTGATTTCTTCTGAAAACTGATTTTGCTTCTGCTGGATATCCCTAGAGCAGTGGAGCCAAAGAACTTATAAAGCTGACAAAATAATAGAGTAATACATTTGCACAATAACACAAATATCTTGATCTGACCGTGGAAGGAAACAAAATAAAACGTACCCAGAGAATGAAGACAATCTATGGTTGAAGGGGAAATAAATACAAATAAGCACTCGCCAAACTTTTCCAGTATTCATTTATTTATTACAATGATCAACAGCCTTTACACTCATATTCAGACAACTGCTGCTGTGACATGTTTGCTTCTTCATATATAGAAGCACTCATATTTAAAGTGAACAGTCGGAAAAAGTAAACTGTGATGAGAAACCTGGCTAAACAAATGATAGAGAGAGCAGCGTTTAAGAGCTCTTTTCATAAAAACCAAAGAGGTGACACCAATTTTTACAAAAAACTTTATGCCTCTCTAGATGGAAAATGAAATAAAATGAATTTATGATAAAATACCTCGCTGTAAATGTTGGAATGCTGGACTAATAAAAGTCTTCAATTGAGCAAATTTTCAACTGGGAAGAATCAAGCACCTGAATGGCTGAAGTAAAGATAATCCAGCCGTACCAAGATATCACCTCAACAAGACATGAACCCTATACAGAGAAGTAAGGATTTACAATCTGAAGCCTCAAAAATTACAAATATCAGGGTACCCAATAATTTCACTAGCACCAGTAATCAGATAATCAAGATTATATTGTCTTTTGAACATTTAATAGCAACCCATATACTCGGTACATTAAAAACATTAAAGAAACAATATGTTTCATTTGAATAACTATCTGAAAAGGAGAAGGTGATAAGTTTGCAAGTTAGCAATATATTCTCTGATGTGGCAAATTGCTCAAATGTATGGTGTAAGATATATTTTCATATACAAACAATTAATTTCTGCTCAGAATTATTACAAGTAATAGTCTTGTTGCTTATAGCAATGAAGCAGCTTGAAAATCTGGTTTGTGAAACAATAATATGCTATGTGAAAAAAACAAGAATTCAAAGCTAGATAAGAATATGATCATGCTGTAATAGGATGCATTCCGTTTTCACCATGTCTGGGTTTTGCTTTTTTTGCAACTCTATTATACTACCTCCGTCCCTTTTATATTGGGACGGAACAAAGTGGTACAAGTTTTAAGAAAAGTGGGTTTGTATGGTTGATATTAATTGATAAAGTAAGAATATAGTAAGAATGATTTTGAGCCACACAAACTTTCCCAAATATGGTATGGGACAATTTAAGTGGGACTTCCCGAAAAGGTAAAACGGGACAATATATATGGGACAGAGGGAGTATATATTATAAATATGACCACTAAAAGCTGAAACAAAGAATATACGAGCAAAAATAGCACTCTCGCCATAAAAATGAAGCATGATGCCTGGGGTATTTGATGAGAGTGGAAGAATTTGATTATACGTACAAAAAAACATGCACAAGAGATCCTGTAGTTTAGGCACAAACATACGATTTGGTTTACAACTTTACACCAATTGAGTTTACTTTATTATATTTCTTACTCATTCAACGTTTTTATCCCCAAGAATTCTTGCCACTAAAATTCTAACTTTCATATCAAATGAAAATCTAAACTCATACTGCATATGTACTTCCCTGACAGTTCTAATATCCATATTATGTATACCACAGTTTCTTGGGTAGTTGGGTTATCATTGACATTACTGTTGTCTATTTAAATGAACTGATGATGAATCTGACTGACCTTATGATAAGAACAGAAAAATAAAATCAACGGGGTGAACCGTTGCCCAGATAATCAACGATAAATAAATACCGTTGCCCAGAGCCAAAAGGCTAAACCAACTTTTATTCCAAGATGAGCAAGAATGAAGCATATAAGGGGTATAAATAACCTTCTAGGTCTAATAAGAATAGGAATCCTTATTAAATTATTCTAGGAAACTAAATGGAATAGGAAACCTCCAGTTCTAATAGAACTCCTAATTAAATCATTCTAAGAAACTAAATAGAAATAGGAAACCTCTAATTCTAATAAGAATAGAAGTCCTAAATAAATCCTATTAGGAAACAAATTAAATTAGGAAACAAAATAAAAGGAATAATAAATATTAATTAAACAGCCCGCAACCAGCCCACGAAGGTGGGCTCAAGCCCGTAACCGGCCCACGGAAGTGGGCCCAAGCCCGGTCCCGCCCCATGCTCTTTCCGCTTCATATCAATCCATCCTCCTTCAAATTAACCTTGTCCTCAAGGTTGAAAACTCGCGGATCGGGAACTGAAATTTCCAGACATAGTATAGACTGGAAAATATTCTTCGCCGGTAATTTCACAGAAGTCATGCTGCTTGAGGTCCAACTCTTCATCCTCCTCGGCTATCATTACCCGCAGCTGCTTAAAGGGACAATCATGCCCCGGCGTAAATGGTTTCTTGCACCTAAGGCATAATCCTTTTGCCCTCAAATCTGCTAACTCTTTTGGCGCAAGACGGGTGAACTGAGATCGTGTCGTAGGCTGCCCAGACAGGCCTGACTTCGTCCCCGGAGGCTGTCCACTATCTTTCGCAAAGCTGCCCCCTGAGCCCTGTAAGCTGCCACAAGTGGCAGTCAACGGGGGACCCATGTTTGCCCTTACAAAACTGCTGGAACGTACCCCTGAAGAATGATAATTCAGGCTGCCACTTTCTCCACTTTGGACAGACAGATTATGCTCTATATCGCGAGCTAATTCCATAGCTGTTTCCAGGTTTTCTGGCCGAAGTAATCGCAATGAACTTCGGATTGTTTCCTTAAGCCCACTCATGTAATAGCCCAAGTAATGATCGTCAGTTAATCCGGGTACTTGACTAGCCAGTTGTACAAACAAAGTATTGTAATCTTCCACTTGCCCAATTTGTTTGACGCCGGACAGCCGTTCAAATCTGTTTCCATGATATCGGGAATCAAATCTAGCCACCAAGGCTTGCTTGAATTCTTCCCAGGACATGTTAGGTTTGCGCCCCTTCAACCAAGTTACCCAATATAGGGAAGCCCCTTCCATAGCCACCGTAGCTGCGGCTACTTTCCTGCCCGGTAGGGTTTCGTTGAGTTCAAATTGTTGCTCGGCTCTTGCCAACCACCCGATGGGGTCTTCGCCATCGAACGAGGGCAGCAAGGTGGAAGTCGTGCTGCGCAGACTGCCTGCAACGCCGGTCACCAGTGCGCCATGAACGGTGGAGTCACTGTTAGGGCTCGCGGTCGGAATTTTCTCCAACGAGGCCATGGCTTTCGCGATCACCGCCAGCGAAGCCGCAATTTCCGCGAGCTGAGCGCCATGTTCCTCCAGCATCAATCCCTGCGCATCTTGTTTTATTCCCTGCGCATCAAGTTTCAGGCCCTGCGCCTCAAGCTGCTGTTTAATTAGGGTTTGTTTGGTCTCCAATTCTGTCAGACGTTCATTCTGCGTTCTTGTCATCTTGGCGGGACGGGATCCGGCAGGTCGGACCAATTGATAAGAACAGAAAAATAAAATCAACGGGGTGAACCGTTGCCCAGATAATCAACGATAAATAAATACCGTTGCCCAGAGCCAAAAGGCTAAACCAACTTTTATTCCAAGATGAGCAAGAATGAAGCATATAAGGGGTATAAATAACCTTCTAGGTCTAATAAGAATAGGAATCCTTATTAAATTATTCTAGGAAACTAAATGGAATAAGAAACCTCCAGTTCTAATAGAACTCCTAATTAAATCATTCTAAGAAACTAAATAGAAATAGGAAACCTCTAATTCTAATAAGAATAGAAGTCCTAAATAAATCCTATTAGGAAACAAATTAAATTAGGAAACAAAATAAAAGGAATAATAAATATTAATTAAACAGCCCGCAACCAGCCCACGAAGGTGGGCTCAAGCCCGTAACCGGCCCACGGAAGTGGGCCCAAACCCGGTCCCGCCCCATGCTCTTTCCGCTTCATATCACCTTATAATATGAATACACCTTGGTAACCTTACCCGTCAGCCCAAAACCTAGAGCACAAACTGAATGCATTCCATATTAACACCTAAATCTAATAAGGGAGGAAGCACATAGTACCTAACAAGTCGTGGAAGATGACTCAATGCACCAGAATTTATTTCATTTGAGAAATATAATTTTCTCAGGTTAAACACAAATATGTAGTTTTGTTGGGAAAGATGAAAATATTGTCAGGTACCCTAAGGGAGACTCTTCTGCTTGTGAAGTCTTGTTCGAGGAATAGCCAAGATGGCCACAAGTCCAGCAGCAAATGCAGAAATTGCTGCCACAACAAAGGCAGGTGAATTGCCTCCACCAAATAGCTCATCCCAGGGACCACTACCAATGGAAACCAATATCTGTTTTCAAGAACAACATTGTGAAATGGCATTAATATTCTCATCATAAGAAATAATAGAACAGATTTATTGTTTCCTTTTAGAAAATAATCCATATGCATTTGTAAAACTGCAAAAATTAAATTCAGAGTAGATGTTGGTGACATATGTAGCGGATGTCCATCTTTATAAAAAGGGAGAACTACCAAATAAGCCCTCGAACTTACATAAAAAGTGCAAATCACCCCTTATATAGGAGGCTCTGTCCGGCCGTCGCCATTTGGGGCGGTTCCTGGTGGAATTTTTTGATGAAATTTTTTAGCATCTTATTCATTAAGTCTAGTTTACTCATACCAAATTTGACTGCCTTCCCGATTGAATTTTTAGCTGATATTTGGCATGAGTAAACTAGAGTTAATGAATAAGATGCTCAAAAAACTTCATCAAAAAATTCTACCAATAACCGCCCCAAATGGCGACGACCGGACAGAGCCTCCTATATAAGAGGTGATTTGCACTTTTTATGTAAGGTCCATGTCTAAAATATTTATCGAATTTGAACTAGACATTCAGAATCTAAATTTTCATTCAACTGCAAAATCATCATATTTGAATTGAATATTCACCAGGTCATATAAAGCTTTAATCCCTCAAACGTTGTTGTTTTCTTTCTAAATATTTGAATTGGGCTGGTCTTAAAATAATCATCAAATGCTTATAAGGAAAAAAATTGTGGATGATATAGTTTCTACCTTTCTAAGTAAAACTCAACCACACAATTTCACTTCTTGGTAAGCATTTCATACTATTTCATAATTCCAGGACCCTTAAAGATCCTAGATTTCTGATTGGATCATCTTTGACTACTTGGTTAATGTCCTTGGTCTCACCCAAGGGGTCAGCACACATATAGAAAAAATTATGTTAATTGACTTTATTTGATATATGAAAGAACTCTAAAATAGCATATTTGCATAGTACTGAATTGTTTACACAGAGTATATAAATATTGGGATATGCTCTTGACTAAAGACCGTGAAAAGTTCTTCATCACCATAATCCTCCAAACTTTTTGGTAGATGGCATCATATTAACAGTACTAATCAATTTAGAGAGCTCAGAGTACTCGAAACTTTAGATTCATCCGAAACAAAAAGTAAACAACATGGGTTCAATTACCACAGATTGTCCACAGGAATGGAAAAAAGTCAATCACACATTAAGGGTGTCCATAAGATGCTTTCATGTATAATAGCCACAGATTATTTATACATAACGATGGGGGGCAAAGTTTTTCCACAATATTATTTTCAAATGTAACAGCAATTACACCTCTATGTGAAAAGTTTTTCCACAGTGTTCAGTTCATTTTTTAGATAATAGGAACTTTCTAATATTACAAAACTTAGTGATTTTTCCTCAGATGAACCTTATAGTTTGGGTGAAATGACACCAAACAGGTGCTTGATTATCCCAAGAGTAACCCTGGAAGGCTCTCTTCAAGCATGGATAAGAGATAAATATGCAGTAACAAAAATAAATATAGTTAAAATAGATATGCGGTAATACCAATAGAGGAATTTTATCAATTCAGGACCCGAAAGATAAACGAATTATCAATCTGGGACCTCAAAGATGAAATGTGTTGATATAAGACCTGAATGATGAAAAACTATCAATTTAAGACCTGAATGATTGAAAACTATCAATCTAGGACCTAAGTTGTGATAAATTTTGTATTTTTTTTTATTTTGAAATTTTAAATATTATTTAGTTTTATTAAACTACTATAAACTTTTGTGAAGAAATGTTTTTAAAAAATTAGTAATGGAATTAATAAAAAATTAAATAAATCAAAACCTATGAAATGTTAGGTCCTAAAATGATAGTTTTTCATCATTCGGGTCCTGAATTGATAGTTAATCTATCTTTCGGGTCCTTAATTGATAAAATTCCTTAAAACAAGTATGTTACCTGAGGTATAACGATTGCCAGATTTAGTACACCCATGGATAGTCCTGCATGGCATGGGCAGCAATTTTTTTCACTAGTTCCCAACAAGCAGTATAGAACCAAAGGTAAAATTGGATATTTGGAAGAAATTTGCAATACAACCAACCTTGGCCAAGCCCCAAGTTCTCAATGTGCGAGGATACCAATGCATATGGAACACTATAAGTTATCTGCAAGGATTGTTAAAAATTATAGGATCCACTTACTCAGAATGTTCTTCAGAACAAAAAGAAAAAATAATCGAAGCATCTAGCATGTTTGTGACTGTAAGCGCATATGCTGCGGCTAATCTAAGAACTTGAGTTCACTTTTTGTACATGAGACAAAATTAGCAAATACTTCGTACTACCTATGTGTAAACATCTTAAACTATAGTCCGTGTTTTAGATATAACCAGTCCTAAGATCTTCACATACTCACTTTTCTTAAGAACTGCACCACCTCTTCATGTCCCAATGTTAGTGGGACAGAGGTAGTACTACGTATGTGTAACCAGTCCTAACATCTTCACTTCCTTTTCCATTACAAGGAACTATTCCTTTTATCCTATGTTATTCCAATTAATCTATATATTATTCATTCATCCCCCAAACTTTATGTTTTGGTTGTTTTTCTACCAATATTTAAGAATTTCCAAATTAGTGTATTGCCCTAAATAGAACTTGTAATTTTCAAATGCATTAGATACACCTATAAGACTTAACTAATTCTAAAAAAGGAATAGAAAATCACACAAACAAAACTCAAAGCCAAGTATGGCTATATTTGGGATTTACGGAGACTGGAGTAATAAAATGTCACATGCTAAAACAACAAGAGATATGAGTGTGAAAGTTGATCTACAGAGCAAAATAAAAGTAACTACACACATGTGGATAACCTCACATGTAAAACTGTGTTACTGCAACCCTCATTCCTAACGGCAAAAGAAAACGCAGTAACATAATGTAAAAACCAGAAGAACGAGCACTTACAGATAGCGGCACCCCAAGAATAGTGAAAACTATCAACACAGCAATAACAATGCCATTTGGAGGAGGATCATTAAGGGTAATGTCCATGTGGTTCCTTATGGCAGTGATTACAAGCATTGCTATGAAGCACAAAGACAGAACAATGTTAGAAACTCCCCATGCAAAACCAGCCCCCCATTTTCCACAAAGCTTTTCCATAAACACTGAAGTTAATCCAAGAACCACAGAGTTCAACATTAAACCCAATGAGCCCATTCTGACTCCGTTGCTATAATTTGCTCCATTTGGCTCACCCCCATATATTTCACGACCTACCCAATCAGTGTCAAAGAGGGTAAACGGGAACCAGGCAATCCAAGTCAGCATAGTGACAAGCAGAATAATCCAAACGGTAGAAGGAAAGTATTTAAAAGTTCCAAAGAGTTCCCATAGAAAAGGTTCTTCCTGGCCATTGGTGGACTGTTCAGCATCAACGCCAGTTTGAGCAGTAGCACATTGTGGACTCAATGGCTCCTCTTTGACAGCTGATAAGCTTATATATGTAGCTATTACAATGAAAATGATGTCAAGGAGGAAAGCAGCCTTGAGGTTTGCACAGTTGACCGCACAAGCATCATTTAGGGTGAAAGGAAATATCTTATACCAGCCACTGTATGATCCAGTTGCATAACCAAGTATGTTACCCGCAGCCATAAACAAGGAGAAATACGCATTTGCTACGCGGGTCCTTCGATTATCCTTTTCTAGCACATATAATTAACAGAAACAGTGTCATCTTTTAGGTAAAACGCAAATCAAACAGTTTTATCATTATACACTTTTATCATTATCAGCACGCATATATTATGCAAATGTAAGATCTTTTTCTAAAAAATGTCAAGAATGGCCATCAATGTTGTGGATCGTTGTCAATTTTTTTCCTTTTTCTTGTTTCATAACACTCCTAAGAAAGATTTCCAGATAAGTATAGGACAAAATAGCAGATATTTTATCAAAGCATTTCAATATTTACTAATTTCTGGTTTCTAATTTCTAAATAGTAACTTTACTTGAAGCCAAGGAAATTAAGAGTGTTGGGGAACTATTGATGTTGTTCACAATCATTTTCTCAAGTTGTAGTTCACTGTTGTACGGGGGTTTCCAAGAAACCAACTGCATCAGTTGGTATTCGGTGGTCATTAAACGTAACACACCTTTAATAATTTCCATTATAAGATTTTATCAAGTGTTATTAATACTTTAATAAATATAATTATATGTATTATTGGTATTACTTTAATTCCCGTTAATGTAACATTCAAAACATAAGTGAAAAAAGTATTGTCACAAATATTTTTAGATGTATAACATAAATATCAAATGACATTATTGATTCAAAACCTATTAAATAAAATTAGTGTGTAGTTCTGCTCGTTTTCTCTCATCTACACAAACTTTAACTACACAATATTTAATTTTCTTATTTCTCACCTAATTTAAAAATTGCAATATCTTATAGGACGAAGACATTATATTTTAGAGCATTATGAGTATGTGTATAAATTTAAATTTTACTATTAAGCATTCAAAAAAAAAGAATGCATATTGAACCCTATGATGAAATTAGAAAACACTTTTAAAATAAAACAAATACTCCGTATCAAATAATATCATTGAATATGTAATAAAATGGTTACTAAGTACTACGCATTATAATTATTTGATTATTATGAATAATAAATATCTTTGCTTGTAGTCTTATATACTACTCCGTACTAAGTACTAATATTATTATACTTTTATAATTGTAAAATCTATAAAAGGATGACCGGGTTTCCAGGGTTGACCGGGTTGACCCGCCGGGTCCGGGTTGACCCCTGACCCAATTGTTCTGCCGGGTTGCTTCCGGGTGTTTACAACATAGCTTGACCCCTTTTAATTAGATACAGTAGTTGCTCATTTGGCAAGACAAAGATACAGTCCCTACTTGTTCCACTTGAATACGCAAATCCAGTTGTATTTATCACACAATTCAAAAGAAATTAATAATAAAATAGTGAGAAATATGACATGCGATTTAGACCGTCATCTTCCTCAAGGATAGAAACAAAATTACTCAAATCAAACATGGAAACGAAACTGTTGGGTCTCCAGGTAGATAATAAAATGTCACCTATGTTTACGGTGGCAATTTTTCGCTTAACCAATAATCAGGCGTAAATTAAGTATATTGGAAGCGTACTTGTAAGATCGGCGAGAAGAGCTCTACATGGTCCCTGAGTCACGTTATTCGCCACATCGAGGAGCGAAAAGCCGACAACGAAGGCGGCGATTGCGCGTACCTTAACACCGCCTCGATCGCCGAAGAGCCAGCCAATATCAGCGGAAAATCCGATTATAAGAACCGCAACTATGATAAAGATGGCGCCGCCCAGGATGAACGGGCGGCGGCGGCCGAACCGGCTGGTACATCGGTCGCTGATGAGTCCAACCAGCGGCTGAACGAACAGGCCGGAGAGCGGGCCGCAGAGCCAGATGATACTGGCCCACGCGTGAGGGATTCCGAGCTCTTGTACGTATGGCGTGAGCAGAGATAGCTGTAAAGCCCATCCGAACTGTATCCCGCCGGCGACCGAAGCGACTCGGAAGAGTAACTTCAACGACACTCGAGCCCCTCTAGCCGGTTCTCTACTCGTTGAAGATCGACTCTGCCTCTGCCGCTCTCCTTCCGGCATCGTGGGATATCCTTATTTATCTATGCGTGCATAAATTGCAGTCACCGGCGGAGTTGTACGACCGGGTCGTATGTTGCCCGGTGGCGGGAGAGGGGTTATGAGAGACAGAGAGAGGCGTCTGAGGAATGTGAATTAGAAAATTGAGGAAAGTGGCAAAAGTGCCTAGACTGCCTACATATTTGAACATTTTTGCGGAAATGCGATTTTAGCAACAGCTGAAATCTACATATAATTATATAAATCTACATATAACAATAATAAATAACAATAATAATAGTAATAATAATAATACATTTAAAAAAGTGATTATGATGATGAGTCTTTGATGTGTTTGTAATGTGATTATTATATTGTTTTTTAATCCAATTCTTGTGAAAACTTTGAATACTTTTTGTTAATGAAGCAAATATAGTAAGTTGTTTTCTTTTGAAAATTTGTGTAATTCTAATATAATTCTAATATAATTTCACTTAAAATAATCTCTATTTAAGAAAAAAAAAAAAGTATTGTTGTCTAAAGGTGTGCTTTAATTTTTAAGAAAAATAATTCAATTTTTTGAGAGATGTGTTTTCTTAATATACAACTACAAATGTTTTCTTGCATATGACTGCATCGATAATAAATGAATTTAGGAGTGTTTAGATCTATTTCGTAAAACTATTTCTAATTCTTCGGGAAGTAAAATCAAATATTTGAGTGTTTGAATGAAAATGCAGAAGTACTTCTGGGAACTCTAAATTGATTTTAAAAGCAGTATTTTAGAAGATGAGAGAGCAAGTTTCTGAAAAATTTGTTCTACTTTAATTTTTCAAAAAGAGGTAGAAGCTTAAATGAAGATGAAAGTGATCACTAAAAACAGAAGATTCTGTAGGCTCTAAGAGATGTGAATTTGCTAGCTCAAATTAAAGCCATGAAAAAGGTAGCTGGTAAATCAAAATTAAAACTCGCCTAATTCGCTGAATTAGAAGCTTTTGCTCAATTTGCTTCTGATCTCGATAGAAGTAGTCAAAATCAATTCGCAAGAGATCAACGATTGCGCAATTTGCTTAAACAATATATCCCAATCCGCTCCTCTCACACCGGCAAAGCAAAGAAACAAATGTACTCATATTACGAAAACAGATGTCTTTTAGACTTTATAGCCCGTATGGTAATCACTATTTTTGGCTTATCAATCAATTTTTTCATCAAACACATAACTTTTTATTTCATTTGCCGAATTGTGTAATAATAAAGATAAGCAAGGTTGAAGTTATTTTATGACTGAAGTGGAGATGTAATAAATAAAAACCCATCAACTATAACCCCAAAAAGAATGCACTTAACATCCAAAAGTCTCGAAAAACAAAACAGAAGTGGAACAGACGGAGGAGCGAGATGTGAACCTTAGCGGCGGTACCCCGGGGACCACCAAATTTATATCAATCGGTCCTTTGCAGTAAAGCTAGGCTGATAATCGTTACCTCTGGCTCTCCAAGTCTACGGTAATAGGTTGTTTATCTTTCTCTGCTTCTATTCATCCTTTGTCTTATTGGATTGGTCTGTGGGTTGTTGATCCCGTCTCTGGTCTCGAGTCTCAAGTTTTGTCAAGGTTCTTCTAGGTTCCTTATAAACAGTTTCTGTTTGATTGTTGTTTTCATTCTGTCAAAGGGTGGATGCTCCTGGTGCATGCTGTCTATTTGTTGTTTTGCTAGTGGGTTATGAGTTGGCTCACTGCTCTCTGTTTTATTGCTTGTTTGTCCGATGTTTCTGTTGCCGAGGGAAGGTGCGCTCCTGGTGAGCGTTTTGCATGTTGTTTGATTTTTGTTTTTTGTGCTTTCAATTTGGTTGTTCTGTCGGTGAAACATTGTGTTGATAAGGCTATGGTTAGCCTTGTTGCGAATTATAGTAAAGTTTCCATAGAAGAGGAGGAGAATAGTGGTTTGATTTTGGAAGCGGATCCGATAGGGGATGCCGGTGAGGTCGATAGGTGTGTGTGTTTCTTTACGGTGACATGGGTGGTAACGGATAAATCTATTCTCCCAATTGCTTTCCTTGAAACAATGACTATGGTGTGGAGGCCGGTTAGAGGAGTCACCATTCAAGAACTTGAACGTCTAAATTTCTACTTCAGTTCTATCATGATGGAGATATTAGCCGCGTTATCGAGGGCGGGCCTTGGTCTTTTGATCAAAATCTAGTGGTCATTAGAAGGTTTGAGCGAACAGATAGACTTCTTGAGGTGTCTTTGGAGAATACTGACTTTTGGGTACAAGCTCATAATCTCCCTCTCGGTTACATGACATTTAAAGCTGCTCAGGGAATTGGAATTAGTATAGGGTCTTTTGTTGAGGTTGACGAACGCACCCTTGGTGGGAAGTGGAGATCAATTTTGCGTATAAGAGTGACAATAAATATTAATAATGCCTTGATTATGAGATTGAAGGTCAGATAGGATGATGATAATTGGATTTGGGCGGATATTCGACATGAGAGGCTTCCAAAGTACTGCTTTTTATGTTGGGTTTTGGGACATATAAACCGCTTTTGTCCATCTAATATTTTTACTGGACCTGGGATTGAAGAGAAGCCATATGGGGCATGACTACGTGCAGATATGAGAAGACGTGGTGTGCATATAGGAAATAAGTGGTTGATCCCCAGTAGAGGTTGTTCTAGAGTTCGACATGATGGTTCATTTAGTTGGAGCAATTTGGTTAGGACTATCACAGGGGATCATGACAGCTACACGGTCAAAGGGCTAATCTCCAAGGAAAAGGAAATGATTGATGTGGTTGATGGCGAGGTAATTCTAGCAAGAACGGACGGATGCGTGATGGTTTCACTTTGGCTAGTAGGTTTTTGGGGGCAGGGGCTGATCTAGTGATGTTGGCTTGTGGTGGGGACCAGCGGTGGTGGGGTACTGTGACATATCACTGCGACCGGAGTCACCGTGTCACTAGAGGGATGTAACTATCTATCTATCTATTACTGTAGAGATATAACTATTACTCCGTATATTTATTAAAAGAAAATGTTACTTTTTCCATCCATTATCCACTTTTTAGTACTTTTTCCATCCATTATCCACTTTTTAGTACTACGTAATATTCAGGTCAAAACCCCTAACTATATCTCAAATCTTAAATGTAAACCAAGCTGAGACCGTAAATGGTTACAAAATGGTAATCATTTGGAGATGTATTAACTTGCTAACTTAGAACATACACATTCTCACTGCTCAAATTCTTTTTTTAAATATCGACACAGGTTTTAGTTAAATATTTTCACATCCTCCAATTGATTTAATTCATCGTCTTACACGACTTTTAATTTATACGCTAAATCGTGTAATAATAAAACTAGTCTTTTACCCGTGCGTTGCACAGGGTGACGAATTAGCAAATTATCTCGAAACTGACCAATAGTTCCAAGGTTGGTTCAAGTGCACATAAATTATGTTAATTTGTTAATTTTATTTCAAATTGACAATCTTAAACCTGAGCAAGCATCAACCGCTCTAAAATCCCCAGCATACTCCACATTGGCATCCAAAGTGGGAAAACTCCACATATACCCCAATTTCAAATTATCTCTCAAGAAACTTAGAAAGTAAATAGGTTGACAGAAGATCGATTAAAACTTGGTCCAAGTATTTCTATTTAAAAGACTTACTCATAGCATATTTGCAAGTGTCTAAAGTTCTACACATAAGTATTACAAATTTACAATTGATTATGCATGCATATTTTGCGGTCCCTAGAAATAACATCTGGTAGAGAAATTTCATATTGCACAGTATCACATAACTATGAAGAGCATATATAAAAGTGAATACAAAATTGATAACAATAATGTCATTAACTTTCTAAGTAATAAAAGAAAATGCAAGAATGCAAAAAAAAAAAAAGTCTCCATAAAGTACCTGAGCATAGTTATGTGAACATTGCATCTTTTTAAATTTGCATGAAAAACCTCTGATGAATTTCATATAGTGACATGATGAATACTTTACTCAGAGTTGCAACCTACTAATGTAATGGGTAACTCTTCTCTTTTGAACTGATAGAAGCAAAAAGAGCTCTGCTCTCTTTTAGAATACATTTGAGCATACATAAATTACAAAAGTAGCCAACAAAGAACCTTTTGAGTATACAAATTACCCTGAAAAAGGTGGGAGGAGGTGTGACTAAATAGCGTCATCCTTGACATGATAAGAAGTAAGAACTAAAGAAATAGATAAGAACCAAAGAAAAATTTACTTCTCAATTTCCGTTTCAAATAACATGGTCTGACATACTACATAAAGCTTTGGAAAATTCATTATTTAACATAGTGACCTGCAATAACTTAAATCATATGATACATGCATCCAAACGAAAAGGCTTCCTTTCCTAACACATACTCTCTTTGTTACATTTATAATGTCTGATGCGAGAAGAAGATGAAAAGCATGAAGTTCCTTTAAGAGAGAAACACAACATACATTGGTGTATTAAATATTTTATTTGTACTAATAAAAAGAGTTGTGGTGTTCTAAAGAAAATAACGTTGAAATATCAAATGCAATATTTAATAATAATGAAGGAGCTAATCATTTATGATAATTACTCATTTATGGCAACTTAATGTGGACTCGCTCTAAACCTTCGGAGATGAACTTTGTTGCTCGTGCCAAGCCATTAGTCTGCAAGGATAATTTGATACTTTCTAGGTGGAGTTTTCTGATTGTACCTGTAACACCAAAAGAAGGTAATATATCAAAATTATGATAAGATTTGTAATAAATAAAAAATGTATTACCAAATAAGCCATTTTCTGGGGTATTTTCTTCAAATATGGGAAAAGCAAACGTGCAATGCAAAATAAAGGGAATCTGTTTAGGGTTTATGGGAAAGTGGCAATGCACCATCACCCATAGAATTTTGAAAGAGCTCTTAGTTTCTATCCAAAAAATCGAAAGAGCTCTAAGTCTGTCAATCCATAAAGAAAAATTAAAAAATGCCATTTGGAATAGGCAATCCTGAATGAGGGCAATAAGATAGGTAAAGGGTGGGGGGCATGTATAAAATAAAATCTCATTTTTCTTTTAAGTGTTGTAATTTTTTTATTTGTATCAAAGTTCATAACTTCCTATGAGTTTTTTCATATGACGCCAATACTGCATATATGAATTTCAACTTTTGTCGGTCTCAAAACCTCCCACAGTTAAAACTTCAATTTTTTAAAACTTTATATATGTAATTATTTTGGTGTCATATGAGATGTTATTTATACATGGCCTCCACCTTTTTCTTATTCTTTGTTCATTCAGAATAGCGGTTTCCAAATAGCTTCTATTTGTTCTTATTACTTTGTAGTATTTCATTCGGATTACAACTTTCCAAAAACCCGTATCTTCATACCCTAAACTGTAATCCGTGTTATGGCATAGAAGTTTCAAAACCCCCGTATATTTAGAATTTCCTCCATTTCTATCCTCTATGGCATATTAAGAATTTTTGTAAAACGTTTTAGGAGGTACATACCCTAGAGAAACGTACTCATTAATTTCTCATTCAACTTGTTTACCTTTAAAGAATAAGGAGTGTACCTTTTTGCCTGATGGACACACCTTCAATGAATTGGCCAAACTGAAAATGCATCGGACAACACCTTTTCGGTGGTGTAAAATGAAATCTCTGCACCATTTACAAAATAGAAGAAACACAAAGCAGATCAAAAACGTTTTCCCAAATATAGGTATTGTACATATGGTCAAGTGCAATAAACATCAATAAGCAGAAATAGCCATTTGAACAAATTACAAAAAGGAAGAAAGTTTATAGAACACATGCTCAGTAGAGACAAACACAAACAACACATCTCATTTTATAAACGCCAATTCGAATAACTCAATAACTTATGTTAGCACACATTAGCAGATTAATTTTCTTTCAAAAGATATGCTCGTACTAATTTCGCTACATATTGAAAATGTTTGTCTATCAATTTATAGTTTCATTCATACCTTAATGAATGGAAGACCTGTTGAATTATTTAAACGCATTTGATAAAGAACCATTAAGCGAATAGGAGTCTGAAAATTTTCCAAACAGCCAAAACTTCTTTATATTTGCATGAAGAAGAGGCACTTGAGCGGCTAGGGTGTTCTTTCGATGGTGTTGGCATTCAAATGCAAACTAAAGATAAAGAAATTAAATAGATAATGAGAGTGCATTTGCTTAATTAAGTATAGTATCTCTCATGAAAAATGATTTTTAAAATTTACCATTATTGTACTCTGTAGTTATAAGACTTATAATGGAAGAGAAAACAGTTATGTGAAAATAGTTTTAGTAAATTTTACAACCTGTAACTTTGAATACAACCTATACTTAAAGTTATTTGAATATCCCCTCAGCAAATTTGTCATTAATTTTCCATTTCGTGATGACTTTTTAAAAATCAGAATTCTTTTATGACATTGTTCATTAGGTAAAAAATAACTCACAATTGGCATCAAGGAAGAGTATTAAAAAAACTAATAGATATGCAAAAACTAATTTTCCTTTTCAAATTAATCCTTCTTCCTGCAAAAACTCCCAGAAAAAACATAAGAAAAAACTCTCAAAATAATTCTCAAAAGCAACTTATAACAGACCATTAGCTTGTATGTGTGTGTCTGTTTATAGAAAGGAAATGGCTGCTATATTAGATATTAAACATTTCCTTTCTATATGTGTTTTTGGCAGAGTAATTGAGTTAAGCTAATCAATGTTTTTTTATCCCTAGTACTTTCTTTTGACTTTTATTAACAATGTGTTGGGATGATTGCTTTGTTTTTTATTGGAAGTATCTAAAGAAGATGAAATCTTTAGTTCCTTTTCAGCCATCTTTAGTACCATTCCAATTTCATAAGTCAGGCAATAAATAGAGCTCAAATATACACTACAGAGAGTGCATTTTCTTAATTAAATATAGTATCTCTCGAGAAAAATGATTTTTAAAATTTACTATCATTGTACTCTGTAGTTATAAGACTTATAATGGAAGAGAAAACAGTTATATGAAAATAGTTTCAGTAAATTTTACAACCTGCAGCACAAGCAAAAAAAAAAAAAAGCAAAAGAGAATTGACTATATTGAAATACAAACAACAAGGGGGAATGGCCCCATTTGTGTTTGGAGAAGGCATGCATGGAGGCCATCCTAAGGAAAAAAGGTCAATAAGTAATAGACAAACTAAAATGACCAATTTTCCTTTTCAAATTAATCCTCCCTTCTTGCAAAAACTCTCAGAAAAACGCATAAGAAGAAAACTCTCAAAATAATTCTCAAAAGCAACTGATAGCACACCATAAGCTTGTATGTGTGTGTCTGTTTATTGAAGAGTACAAAGAAACTCAGAATTCTTTTATGACATTGTTCATTAGCTATAAAAAAACTCACAATTCATTTCGTAGAAGAGCATTAAAAAAACTAATAGATATGCAAACTATAGAGTTCAATGACCAATTTTCCTTTTCAAATTAATCCTTATTCCTGCAAAAACTCTCAAAAAACGCATATGAAAAAACTAAAAACAATACAGAACCGGGTGATAACAACTGTAAAAGAAATAAATACACAACGGATAAAAAGAGAAATCAATACGACTTCACATGAGATGTGATGGAAATAAACATCAGTAAGAGAATTGAACTAACCTTGATGGAGAAAGCATGCAGGAGTATCCGAAGCAAATGTGTGCGAGATTATCCTTGCTTTGCAAAGGTGAAGAAGAGGTCAAAAGAGAGCTCTAATTGAGATAAATACTCACCAAGTTTGGTGTTGATGGAGTCTTTGGAGTTGAAGTCTGATAAACCTGAATTCGTTGGAAGTTAATAGAGCTATAATCGAGACTCCAAATCCGTGAGAAGTCTGGGGTTGAAGGTCTATGCGAGTTGATGAAGGTCGTTGCAAAGTCGAAAGAATAGGCAAGTCTCATTCAAAAGGAGTGTGTATAAGCGAGAATGTGAGAGCCCTAACTCCTGGGTAGATGTATTTACGTAAATGTCCTCAAGCTTGAGCGGGAAAGGGACTTAA